CTGAGACCTTCACTGAAGTCTGTTGTGAACATTCTAAAAAGGCAGTGCAGAAGACAAGGGCAGGTCTACAAAGCTTGGCTTCTTAGAATATCTGCTTCATGACCGTAGCATGGAAATACACTACCCTTTTCTAGCAACTATAGATAAATCATTCTGGGCTGAAAGAGTTGTCATGTTGGTTCCATATTTTCTAAACAGCACTCTAAACCGCTGTTCAGTTACCAGATTGATTCTCCACAATGACCTCATTCAAACGTTGCAGCTAGCCCTTATGTGATTTAGAGTCTGTGATTTATGGTTGAACATGCTTGGTGCTTAGCCCACCTCTCAGTTCCTTACCTATGAAAAATAACATTAGAAGGAAAGTGAGTACAGGTAGTCCTCAACTTATAACTGTTCGTTTAGTGACCATTCAGAATTACAGTGGCACTGAAAAAAGTGACTTATGACCGTTTTTCACACGACCATTGCAACATCCCCATGGTCCCATGATCAGAATTCAGACCCTTGGCAATTGGTTCATATTTATGACGGTTGCAGTGTCCCACGGTCATATGACCACCTTTTGTGACGTTCTGACAAGCATAATCAATTGGGAAGCCAAATTCACTTAACAATTACCGGTATGTTACTCACTTAACAACTGTCTCACTCAGCAACAGAAATGTTGGGCTCAATTGTGGTCATAAGCTGAGGACTACCTATAATAGTTCTGCCTTATTTCTCCTTCTGTGACAAAAGTCTGACAAATTTGATCTACAAGATACGTAAACATACATCAGAATTCGACAGATGCTTAAATATTCATGTTTTCTGACCAAGGTTAACATGCAAGGTAGTCACAGGAATGAAAACCCATGGGTTCCATTTCATATCTAAGAGTTTAGCACATTGTCCAAACCTCTGATTGCTATAAATCTTCCAAGTCAACATTATAAACTGCTTAAGCCACATCTCTTTTAAGGAAAGGATGGAAGAGTATCACAAACACATCTACACTTGTAGTGATGACTTTATTTTTCATACAGATCTTCTCCTGTATGAAAAATGAGTGGAGCACTGGACAATGCAGGAAGATTATAAATGGATGAGGCCATTACCAGGCCTCTGTAAAATGTGTGTGAATGAGCCATGATTGTTCCCCAATAAATATCTTGTTTGGAATGCTTTAGCACCAGTGTCTCATGCTCATCGAGCATTGTCTAAACAACCAGAATGATTGCAGAGCATTGTTTTTACTTTCCCCAATGCTTTTTGAAAAGGACCAACAGTCATGCAAACATGGTTAAAAACATTAATATTAATAGGCAGAAAGATTGATTGGTGGACATTTGCACAAATTCAATCTAAATATACAGAGGACAAAAAATTATATGAAATACAAAAAGAGCCACAAGAATTGGATAAAATTATACATGGAACAGAAATAAAATTAATTAGCAATATATACAAATATTTATTGAAATACAAAATGGAAGATGAGGTTGTCAAAGATACAATGANCTGAGACCTTCACTGAAGTCTGTTGTGAACATTCTAAAAAGGCAGTGCAGAAGACAAGGGCAGGTCTACAAAGCTTGGCTTCTTAGAATATCTGCTTCATGACCGTAGCATGGAAATACACTACCCTTTTCTAGCAACTATAGATAAATCATTCTGGGCTGAAAGAGTTGTCATGTTGGTTCCATATTTTCTAAACAGCGCTCTAAACCGCTGTTCAGTTACCAGATTGATTCTCCACAATGACCTCATTCAAACGTTGCAGCTAGCCCTTATGTGATTTAGAGTCTGTGATTTATGGTTGAACATGCTTGGTGCTTAGCCCACCTCTCAGTTCCTTACCTATGAAAAATAACATTAGAAGGAAAGTGAGTACAGGTAGTCCTCAACTTATAACCGTTCGTTTAGTGACCGTTCAGAATTACAGTGGCACTGAAAAAAAGTGACTTATGACTGTTTTTCACACAACCATTGCAACATCCCCATGGTCCCATGATCAGAATTCAGACCCTTGGCAACTGGTTCATATTTATGACGGTTGCAGTGTCCCACGGTCATATGACCACCTTTTGTGACGTTCTGACAAGCAAAATCAATTGGGAAGCCAAATTCACTTAACAATTACCGGTATGTTACTCACTTAACAACTGTCTCATTCAGCAACAGAAATGTTGGGCTCAATTGTGGTCATAAGCTGAGGATTACCTATAATAGTTCTGCCTTATTTCTCCTTCTATGACAAAAGTCTGACAAATTTGATCTACAAGATACTTAATCATACATCAGAATTCGACAGATGCTTAAATATTCATGTTTTCTGGACAAGGTTAACATGCAAGGTAGTCACAAGAATGAAAACCCATGGGTTCCATTTCATATCTAAGAGTTTAGCACGTTGTCCAAACCTCTGATTGCTATAAATCTTCCAAGTCAACATTATAAACTGTTTAAGCCACATGCCTTTTAAGGAAAGGATGGAAGAGTATCACAAACACATCTACACTTGTAGTGATGACTTTATTTTTCATACAGATCTTCTCCTGTATGAAAAATGAGTGGAGCACTGGACAATGCAGGAAGATTATAAATGGATGAGGCCATTACCAGGCCTCTGTAAAATGTGTGTGAATGAGCCATGATTGTTCCCCAATAAATATCTTGTTTGGAATGCTTTAGCACCAGTGTCTCATGCTCATCGAGCATTGTCTAAACAACCAGAATGATTGCAGAGCATTGTTTTTACTTTCCCCAATGCTTTTTGAAAAGGACCAACAGTCATGCAAACATGGTTAAAAACATTGCTTGGTTAAAAACAGCCATGATAAGTCCTCATTAACATAGTTCTTTCTATGGAGCAGAGAGTTAAGCTGCACCCTACCTGTCTTTAAACACAGTTCATCAAAGTCAACACAGCAGCTGCTATAGCTCTTGCACAGGTTGTCACAACGGCACCTTGGAGGCTCTGCTTCATCAAGTTCAAAGCATCGGTTTTTGCAGGAGCCATAAGTACTGATCCAGGGGGAATCGGATAAGACTGAGTATGAGGGAAAGAAAGAGAAAGAGAGAGAGAAATACCACAGCATAAGTTAAGTCATTATTGGTTGATCAAACGTTATTCAAAGGAGGTTAACCGCTCAACTGCTTCATCCAAGAAAAATAAAAGAGGTTTACAGTAAAGAGAGCTAAGAGATAGATGCAAGGGAAAAAAATAATCAAATAAAGAGTAGGTATATCTCTCCAATCACTTTTCTTATCCTG